GTTGGATTCTTATGTCCAGGGGAACAAATGTTCCACTTTAGAGGTTTCATTTAGACACATTAATTCAGATGCTTTCAGAGACGAATTATGGAGCTGTAAATTCCTTCTTCTAAATTGCTTCTGCTATAGCTATTTTTTAAGTGCAAAAATATTTGAAAAGTATTGCAAAACAGTCTTTTTTCAAAGATTGCAAAGAAGGTAGGACTGCTTCACCAGTTCTGGTGCATTAATGCATGGTGTAAGTTTTGCTCCTCTTACCAGCTTCTGCTATGTTCTGTTGGAAAGCTTCTAATAATCTTCTGTAACCAGTAAAGACTAATATTTGTTAGAGTTTTTTGAAATAGGCTTGATAACATAATGCTAAAAATTTCTGACCAGACTGAACACACAATTACTAAAATTGGAAGTGAGAGATACAAAATAATATCCTGGATTCGTCCTTCTGTTTACATGAGTACATACCAAACAAGAGACAGTTTAGAACCAGATTTTTTTTTTTTTAATGTCCAAAAAAATTCTGTGAAAGCATTTTTGAAATGGTATATTGAAAAATTTAAATATAAAACAAGTACTAAGAGGTACTAATACTTCCTTTGTTTCTGGGTTTACTTATTACTTCAGATGTTTTTAAAGATACATATCTTGGTTGTATTCTTATTTTTGCTTTGAGTTCTTATTTTTGCTTTGAGTACCTAAACAGTTAATGTAGAAATAGTACTTCTGATACAATCTTGTACATAATATTATTTTCATTTCTCTTAAGGATGCATTAGAAATGCGTAATGACATGTGAACCTGAACAAGATAAATGGTTCATGGGGGTTTGCTGTATATGTATTTATAGATCTGAAAACAGTCTTGTCATTTTACTGTCTTTAGTGTGCAATAATTACATTTGTCTTGTGTGTTGTAATTTGTGCCACTACTCTCCGAAATAATTTAGTGTTATAATGCATTATACCAGAGAAAAATTGCTTGGCCTGAACAAAAGGTTGTTTCCAGATGAGATATGAAAATAGACACTGAGACAGTTTGGTAACAATACTGGTTGTCTCCACTAGGAAATTTTTCTGTTGCTAACATCAAATGTCAGTATGTAAGCACAGCTGTTTTGTTGTTAAAACGGGGTTAAAAACAGTTTTAGATCAAGACAGTGTTCACCATCGTTTCAAGAACCACAATTAAAACCTAAGAATTTGTGGCCCATCTATAAGACAAAAAAACCTTGACATGATGAAAGCCACGATCAGCTCCTGTTTTAAAAGTAATTCAGAGCACAGAGGTAGAGCACAACTAGCTGAACATCTAGAATGTGTGCTTCCAAAATATTGTACAGGAATTGACAAACTACATTTTTCTGTATGTCATTTGGATCTTCTCATGTGGAGATCTTTGACCATTGATAACTTCACATACAGAAATAAATCTTTCTACTACTGCTATTGGCTTGCTTTAGAATAATGCATAAAACAGCAGTTTTAGTGATATAGATATCATTTTCCAACAAATTACAAAATAAATTATTTACAGTGAAATTTTAAAGGTTAATCTGTTTATAGAATATGTGGCTAGGAGTGGCAATTTTAATTATGTAGCCTGGTCCCCTTGTAAGCTAGAAACTCCATGAACTAAATTGAATGAGAGTGTACCATTTAAAAAATACGTGTTTCTGATTTTTTTAAAAATTCCCAAGAGAGTAAATGAATTACACCCTTAATTAACTGCAATGTTGATATTGGTGCTTTAATTCTACTCTGAGTTTGTCCTGACTACTTCCTTTCACTCAGATCATGTGATAGTTTTGTCATTTAAACTGAATTCCCTTATTTTATCAAACTTCTGTGTTCCTTAAGCATTTTGTTATACTAGCGGGGAGAGATGATTGATCTTTTTGGAAAGTGTATTCTGAGTACTCTGCCTCTTGACATCTTTCCTGTATTTTGAATGTAGAACTGAACAGTGATCTATTGTGGGCATGCCACAAGCACATATACCAGTCTTATTTCTTAGTTGATATTCTCTTACGGTATGGCAATTGGCTGTAGTCTTCCCTGGGAGAAACTCATACATAGCTGACTTTATGCTTTCTGACTGCCTGAGATTCCTCCTTCCCCCTGCCAAGATAGTGCCCCCTCTTCTAAGTATTATTTGTATTCTTTGTTCTTAGATGTATGGTCTTTTATTTGGGCAGAAAATACACTTTTCTTTTTCCTTGCATGCAGAGGTTAAAGTAATGGTGACCCAGTTAAACAAATGAAAAAGTGTATTTCTATTTTCCTTAAATCATACCTTCATGAAATGTCCCTGGTTTTAATTAGGAATTTACCATTTTAAAATGCATTTCAAGTTGTGGAGGTTCAAGTTTCTTTTCAGAGTTATTGTGGGTTTTGTTTGCTTCTTGCTTTTTAGAGTTAAGATTGGATAATACTTTAGAGAAGAACACATTATACTCATGGTAAATATGTAATGCAGTGTGTTCGCACAGTCTTTCCATTAGACCCTGGAATAAGTGCCTTCCACTGTAATGAGCTTTGGAGGTAGAGTACCCAAGAAGATTCTCTAGAACAGATCTGCTTGTGCTGGTGAAGCTACCAAAAATACATCCTTTCTCTAGTTGAGGCTGTCTTCTACCTCCAGAAACAATGAATGGATCCCATGGCTTGGGTAATATATAGGCTTAAAGCCTTAATGCAAATATGAAGGTTTTTCTTTTAAGTACTGTCAGAGTCACTCCTAATGGTTTGGTGCCTTGGAAGCAAATCTCAGTAAGTAACAGTCCTGGAAGATGACATTTAAGTGCCATGCCTCAGCATGAAAGCGCTACGGAAAAATAAATGCACCCTTGTTTAGTCTGAACTTTGCCTTGATTTTTTTCTAAAGATTCTTAGAGTCACTTTGCTTCCTACTTTCCTTTTTGCCTCCTTCCTAATCTCAGAAGATAACTTTGCCACGATAGAGAGAAAAATTTGTTTCTGTAAACTGCCGGTTGTTTTGGATCACAATAACACAGCGACTTGAGTGAAATCAGCAACTTCAGCAACTTAGCTTTTAAACAATTGCTAGAAATAACTAACAAAAATATTTTTAAGCTAACTTTTCTGTGATTTCATTAATCTTAAACAGGATGCGTGTGTGAGTTTTAGAAAAATAAATTCAACTATATTCATGTTGGGTATCATGCATTTTCAACAGCTCCTACTGCACTTTACGCAGTACACAGTGCTTGATGCAGTTTCTTAATCGGTGTAAAAATGTGATACTTAATAATTTGGAGTTGCTGGAGTTTGGGTAGGTTTTCTTAACTTATTTAAGATAAGGTAAAAACAAATAATTGTGTACGCAACTAAAGTATCTCCTGAACTATAAGCTAGCAGAAAGCTTTTGTTTTAAAAACTTCAACAATGGTCAAGGCTGCTTAAACTGTTGAGCACAGCAGTGTTTTGGCAGCACAAGGTGAAGTTGTCAGATGGGGAAGAAACTGATTTAGCTTGACTTTTCCACTTTTCTTTCCCCAAGATAGTGGTATAACTGTCCTACAGGCAATGTTTTTGGAAGTGACATTGTTTCCTCTTTTTGTATTTATTTGCATATGGACTTGAAATGTTCAACATGTCCATTAGATTGTTAAGGAACACAAGGAAAATGATGATGACATTGGATTGCGTTTATTGCAATTTACATCTCTTCTAAAACCAAATGGTATTTCATGTGAGAAAGAGAAGAGGGCACTTCTGTAGTTCGACAAGATTCCCTTTTTCAAACATCTGAGGCCATCCTCAGCCAAACAATGGAGCCGTAAGCTTCTCAGAGGAGGCTCCTGAGAACTCCTTGCTGAGCAGCCTAAATGGGAGGGGCGGGGGGTGTCTTGTCAACTCATCCTTTACAGTGTTAGGATTTGCTGAAAGTGTTATAGAGTCCCTTGTGTATTTACTATTTTGAATTTCAGTTGAGTTTTGAGTATTTCCAAAATTGAGAGATTCCACAACTTCCTTGGGCAACTTGTTGCAGTGTTTCACCACCCTCATTGTGATAAAAATTTCTCTAATATCCTAAAAATAGGGGTTTGTATCTTTTTTCTGTCTTATATTTCAAAGTAGTAGTCTAACATAAATAGGAAATAATTACAGGCATGACCATCTTTATATTGTTTGAAATGTAAGCCAAAAGTTTTTTGTTTGAAAACAGTACTTATTACAGTGCCTGTTTATTCTTAAGTATACGTTTATTCCTTTATAACATGCACAATCTGTTAGGTTTGTATGAAAGAGAGCCTGTAATATCTACCTTTGATTTGAAGCTGAAGATAGATCTTTTGCTATTGTGTTTTGCGTAGTTGAGGGATTTTTTAAAGTTTTTTCAAAAAAAAAAATTAACCTGGGAGGTTTATGATTTCCTATTTAAATACATTGACATTCTTCTGTCTAATAGAAAATCCTAGTAAAATAAGGGTACTCTTTTTTGTGAGCACTCTTTCTTGGAAAGGTTTGGGTTTCTTTTCTCCAAAGACTTTGGCTTTTGTAGCGTTCTATCTTCAAGAGCATTTTCCCATATTCTGAGGTTTATTTAAATTACTGTGTGGAATGTCTGATGATTTGATTTATTGAGAAAAGTGGGATATGCAGATTAATTTGATTTTATAGCAGAATGTATGATTTACAGCATTTATTCAAGATTCGTAGGATCATTTCTAGTAGAAGAATATAGTTTCTGTAAATCTGTGGAAAAAGCATGGGAGGTTTGCAGAATCCCTTAACCTCTTGAACTTTCCCATGTCATCCTATGAACTCTGAATCTATGGCACTGTTCAAATCAGGAAATGTTTAAAAATGAAAAGCCAAAACCCTAAGCTGCTAGATTTTGTATACAAAACATCTGTGGTTCTTGCAGTTTAACAATCATCTTTGTCATGATAACGTAAGCAGGCTATTGTTAGCGCTCATCTTTACTTTATATAATAAAGTAGAATATGATTTCAGTAGTTTGTTTTCTTGTTATTTCAGCTTTATGACAAAATAAACACAAAATCTTCACCACAAATCAGGAATCCCCCAAGTGATGCTGTACAGAGAGCCAAAGAGGTAATGGCTTTAAAATATATTTTCTACTTTGAAAATCTGATTGTATTTAAAGTGGAACATTTTTTTCTTCATTAAGATACTGATATGTATTCTGGTTCATAATCTGAATTATTTCTGGAATTCTACCATTGCTTACTTAAGTTACATAACAAGTTGCATAAACTTGCAAAATTCCATTATGTCTGTAAGGATTACATATTACTCGGCTTCATCATTTAACCTTTCCTGCAACAATAGTGGTATTATAAGGAATACTCCTGTTGGGTAAATGCAGTATCTTTCATGTTCAGTTTATTTATCTGCAGCAGAAGTTTCATATTTATGTGCCTTAGTCACAGAAAAAGATATCTTTCTAGGTATCAGCTTTTTAAATTGGAAAACAAAGTTTATCATAGGTAGTTCTAAGAAGAGCAGACCTAGAAATGCAATGAAGGTGGCCCATTAAGGTGAAAGATAAATAGACGCAGATGTTCTTAATTCTTATACCTGACAGATAGTATTTTATTTGTTTATTGCAAGTAGTAAAAAAAAATAGTTGTATTATCTATTATCAGTATAAATAAGTACAGTTGTTGGGGGTAATGTCATAGGAAAACACTGTTTATAGTGCTATTAAAATAGAATGAACAAGAAGACTTTAAAACACTATTTAATAACTGAAGTCACACTGATAGACACCCTGAAGTCCTATTCTGCAAAATTTTCTGGCAGTTAATCCTGGGAGGTGCTTCCAGAACCAAAATACTCTGCTTTTGTTGTCCAAGTAGTTACATGTGAAAATAAAGGTGTAAGTATCAGGTTGCAGGCAACTGAGTTAAAGCTTATTTACTCCTTCCTCCTTCCCCCAATGATAAGCTGATATATGACTCTGATTTTATAAAATCTGGAGCTTGGAGGTAGGGTAGCAGATGGACCACCTACACTTGATGTCTTTGACAATTTAATTTGTGGAGAGAGGGTTTTATGGGTATTTTTAATTCTGCTTTTAAACTGATTGTTTTAATAAATTGAGACCATGTGTGAAAGTAGCAATTGGTGGTGGTGACGTGTGTCACCTATTAGCACTTCATTTCTGTCTCCGTATATTTAGCTGTTGGAGGAATGCTGTCAATTGAAAAAAGAGCAACTGTTTCCTTCAAATTTCTGCTTCAGTCTCTCTCAGAAAGAAAATTGAAATGAGGTATTAAATTCTCTTGAGGGGGTGGGGAGAGCACATTCTCCTAAGCCCTTCCCTATCAAAAAAAATTCTTTTGTATAATTACTTGGAGGTATTCTGACAGACCAGTGAGGGTTTTCATTTGTTAGATTAATAGCTTTATTTAAAAGAAAGTTACTATGGGCATTTCTCCTGGTTATTTTGCAGGTATTGGAAGAAATTTCATGTTACCCAGAGAACAATGATGCAAAGGAGCTAAAGCGTATTTTAACACAACCTCATTTCATGGTAAGCAAATGCTACTCTTGTTGGTGGTGGGGGGGGGGGGGATGTAATATTCTTTATATTAGAAGACTTAAGTTCAGTAAGTTCTACCTAAAATCTGGAAGTGATGAAACTGCATACAATACAATAGGCCTATTAATAAATATTTCTAATGCGCTGATCTGGCAAAATAATTATTATTACTACTACTATTGGTCCCCATTACTGTGCTGAAAACTGTCAACAGTTTGGAGTAATCTAATTATGGAGCAGTTTCACTGTCTTTTTGCGGGGGCTGTGTTGCACATAGAAAGATGAATGAATCCTTTTGGATGTCTGCACGTAGAGCTGGGATCTTACTTTTTCCCAAGGTCTTGTTAGGATAAAGGTGTGTGAATTCATTGCAGAATAAGTGTTTATTTATCGTTATTTTACAATAAATTGATAGCTTGTACAGTCTAGTGAATTTGTGTTACAGATCAACTCCTTCTGTGTCTGTTTCACAAACCTGATTTGTGGGCAGTAATTGTCCTAAGTTCAGGGATGGGACTGCTTAATAGCTTGGTTCAAGTTACTGAAGTCCAGTCTTTTGAAACTGCTTAAAGGATTTCTTTTGTTTATGCTGTGGATGAAGTTCCTAAGTTCAGAAATAAAAGCATTTGCTTAAATCTGCTATACACTATTGTTGGTTTAAAATCGTGAATTTGACTTTCCCTAACACAAGGATTATATGCAGGGGGCTTTGTGGAATTGGCTTACCTGAAAGCTGAATTACTGTAAGTCTGAAGGATAAACCTAATTTCCAGGAAAGAGTGAGCTGAAACCAACCTCATATTCAGGTATAAGATGAAATCTGGATAGCTGCATGTCCCAGTGTGTTCTTTTGATGGCCACTGTAGCTTTGGGTGCATTTTTTTTAGTACTTTAAATCAGATCAGGAGTGTGTTTTTGAAAAGGATCTCCTGATTGTCCCCTTACAATGCTTTGGTTTGTATCATGTAAGGGTCTTGGAGCATGCAAACTGGACTCCTTTCAGATAAAATTAAAGTCGAAGATATACGCCAGAAGCCAGTGTAATCCAGCAGCTGATGGGCATTCAGTCCACAGGACAAGATGGAAGCTGGTCAGAAGTAAAAACTCCTGCAATGCATTCAGTGTGTACATCGGGTCCTCACTAACCCAATGGTTTTACTTGTTGATTCATTCCTATTTCATTGCACTAATTGCTAATGCAGACATTGGCTTTTTATGTTGTACTCAGCAACACACTGATATGTCATTGCCTGGAGATGATACCTATCCTGAAGTCTGTAACAAATCTGGTTCAGTGTTTACTTGCTTGAAAAAGAACAGAAAACAAGGTGGAATGGTACTCAGACATACTGTAAGAAAGATAAAATTTAAAAAAAAAAAAAACAAACCAAAAAAAAACCCAAGAACAATACTGTCTGGTACTCTGGCAGCTCATTTGATTTACCTTTTTTGCATAATTACCACACAGTATTGCAAAAACATTAGGCACTGTGAAGAAAGAGCATTTTTCAAGTATGTTTTCAGAGTAGGCATCAATAAAAATGATTGTGGCATATAAAAATTTCATGTATGAAATCAAGCAACAGGAAAAGTGAGTTGGAAATCATCTTTTATAGGTATCTATTTCCACCTGATATCCTCATAAATTTAAAACCATCTGTCAGAATTCTTTTGCTGCAATTCTATAAAAAGTGTTTTTTTATAAAGAATAAGCTGCAATTCCTTAACAAATATTTTTGATGAGGAGTAATTTCAGTAAGTTAGTCTATGGCATCCCAAGCTAATTTGCTAGCTGATGGAGTCCCATCCCTTCTCCCCATGTTTCATCCTCTCCCTTGCAGTTGTTCTGAGGTTCATCTGACACTGCACTTCGGTATTGTACTGTGCTAAACTAGTAGAAAACTGCTTCAACAAAACAGTTATCCATTTAGCAAAAAGAATTGGGGACGCCTGGAATGCTGCCAGAGCCAGAATGAGGAAGGGGACAGAAACACGCAATCCGGGTTAGGGAGGAATGGCACAGACATGTAAAGCAGCAGTTAAATCAGCATATGTTGCTGTGGAACCATACCTTTAGGGTGCAGATACCAAAGAGTCTTCAGATGTCAGAGGCAATCCCATCCTCTCCCATCATTCCTGCTCCTGCTCCCAGATACACCTTTTATAAGGTAGCAGACCTTACAAAGTTATTCTTATATATGTGGCATTCTGCCAGACTTTCCTTCAGAGGCAAAGCCTTTAAAATAGATACTATTAGGAAAGGAAATAACTGTATGAAACAATATTGTCAGCCTACACTCAATGTGTTTACCAAACATTGTACAGAGCAGTGCTCTGGTTAGTAAGTTGCTGAGCTCTGACGCACTGAGACTGAAGCAATAAAGTGTAATAAGTAGGATCATGTGCGTTAACACCTGTATGATAACAGAGTATTTTACTATTACTTATATTATTACCTAATGTGTATGCCTAATCAGAAGACAATGGAGTATAGTCCGTCTCGTTTACTTAAACACAGTGTTAGTGGCTTAGACTATGTATAGGCCTTTACAGAACCAAAGCCAATAAAGTATGTGTTTGTAAGTACTCTTACTGGCACTGAGATCTTCCAGTTCAAAGTTTTTTGTTGTTTTAGATTTGTTTTACCCTTGCTTGTCTTATGGGTACAGGAATAAATTATGAATTTAGTCTGAACATGCTTAACATTTGGATTTAAAGAAACGTGTGTAAATTTTGCATAAAGGTCTTTCAGCAGATAGTTAATTTAAGAATTCTTTAAAAGATTATCAAGTACCTCATTTGTTGTGTACAAATTTCAAGGAGCTTTTATTCCATTACACAACTTTGAGTAGTTTTTCAAATGTGCGGGTATTATCTGTAAAAGGTTCTATTATATATGTTTAATATGTGGCAGGAATTGAAACATTTGCTGTACTAGGAGACTTTTACTTGATTACATATTGAAGTTTCATCTATCATCATCTGCCTTCCTACGCTGTTCTTTGTAGACAATGATACTGCAATATAGTAGAAAGCAGTTGTTCTCACTAAACGTATTTTCAGCAGGATTATCATTTTCTGCAAAGGAAAAAAGAAATGGGGGGGACATCTAAATTATCAAAATTAACAGAAATGCAGAAAACAAGTATCTTTACTTAAAGTCCAATAGCAGCCTTTATATTAAATCTTTTCAGTGTTTAAATTGAGCTTGCTGTACTTTAATATCTGGTGTTTCTGAATTTGTGTTAATTTTTGTTAACACATTCAGAAGTCATCTAGTATAATTATGAACCTTTAAAAATGTTCAGATTACCATATTTTAACTTCCTACAAGGTGCACATTATTGCTGAAAATACAGTGTAAAGCAAGGCAAGTATTTGATGTGAAACAAGTGTAAGGCCCTGAATTACATAAGAAATGTAATATTAAAGCGTGGTGAGTGTAACAGATACAGGCAGGTGCATGAAGTTGAGTAAGTAGCTTTGAGCAGATTGAGCTGAAGGAAGCACAGAAGATCATCCTACTCCGTTAAAGAGTGCTTGTCTGCGAAGCCAAGACCACGCTCACTCCTAGAATGGATGGGTTTGTAACAGCCAGAGCTAAGGCATGATTGCACATGGCTGCTCTTATCTGGGACAACTGCAAACAGTTTTCAGATACTAGAATGAGAATTAAACTAAATCTCTAAACCTAGGAGTTTGAGCTTAGTGGTTGACAAAATATGATGAAAAACAGAAAATGCAGATACAGGTTAGTATTTAACTAAAAACAGTATTTGTGTAGGTGGGCTTGAAACACTGGAAAAACAGGAGGGAATGTGGGCAGAGCATTGCTAATTTAGGGAATTCCATTCCATCATTGTAATGCTGAATTCCCAACTATAGTTTGAAACTGATTTGAGGAAAGGGAACTTAAACTGTTTATGAAGTTGTCTTTTATAACATAGTACACTTTAGAAGTGCTACCTTGGGAACAAATTTAGGATTTTGTCGAGGCCATAAAAATCCCTTTGGAGGGATTTTTTTTATCACTTTTTTCAGTTTAAGTTCTGCTTAAACATTTTAACTGAAGACTAAGACATTGCAGACTCAGATTTCTCTGCCAAAAAAAATTCTAGATGGTCGATCTCAAGCCTTGCAGGATTGATGGATTTTGCAAGTTAAGAGCTATGAGCATTTAAATGAAAATTAACAAGATGTTAACTATAATACAGATTGACCTAACTGTGGTGGTGGCTGATGTCTCTACTATTGTAGAGATATTGTAAGAACTAGGCTTGATTTATCAATCCTTATCTGAAAGACCCGTCCACTCGGGTATAAAGGCAGGATCTATCTCTGGTCCTTGATGAGTTAGTATAGCAGTAGAACCAGCATGCTCACATATAAATTGTATTTAGTGTTTTGACAGAAGCAAGCTAGCTATAATATACTCCTTATTAAAAGTTGAATGCAAATGTGAAATGGACGTGATATGGGGCTTTTAACAATATCCTGGAGGACAGTGGAATGTCATACCATAAAAAAGCCTGGTACTATTGAGTACTGCTTTGCAAATGTTGACACTTTGTCCAACTTATGTCTCGTAATACTATGTTATACTTTTTACAGTTATACAGGCTTCATGTCTTTGCCCTAGCTTAGAGTTCTTAATCAGTTGTTCTGCTTATCAAAGATATTTAAATACATTTAATCAATTATGTGTTGTACCATTCTTTGCATCAAGAAACAGAATAAAACCAATGAATTAGTATTTGAGCAGTTTGTTGGTTTAGACTGTAATTTTTATCACGGATTTTGAACTCAGTGTGGTTGTGCAGGGTCTGTGCTCTGGGGGAAGGGGAGAATATCGAAGTGGTGATGCTAGTAAACAACAAAAAACAGTATTTCATTCTTTCAGTCAATACCGATCCACAGTTGGTCTTTATTAGAATGAAATACCATGGGATCTGAATACCTTTCCATTTTGCTAGGGTAATTATTATAGAATAGTGCGCCCAGAAAGATAGCTTCCTAATTCTGTGTCTAGGCACATAAATAAAGATGGCTTAATTCTGACACCTTGCAGGGGAGACAGAAGCAGCATCATTCTCATTGAGGTATCTACAGTAGAAAATCAGGTTTACTCATGTAGATTTTAAAGGCTAGGTATGTGTGTATGCATTTGCAGTCTGCTGAAGTTTGCCTTAGAATCCTTTAGGGGAAAAGTTTCTGTATAGAAAGTGAGGTACAAATATCTTGGATTTCCTTTAGTTTCTGAAAAGCTTCAAAAATACTTAAAGGAATGAGTGGGGGGCATCAGAGATGATGGAAGTCTGATATTTTGTTGCTATAATCTCCTCTAGGCCTTACTTCAAACTCATGATGTAGTGGCACATGAAGTTTACAGTGATGAAGCGCTGAGAGTTACACCTCCTCCCACCTCTCCATACTTAAACGGAGATTCTCCAGAAAGCGCCAACGGCGACATGGACATGGAGAATGTAACACGAGTTCGACTGGTGCAGTTCCAGAAGAACACAGATGAACCAATGGTATGGAGGGAACCTCAGTCTTTTTCTCGACTCTGTACTGGTAGAGACCAATACTGTAATGATTTTAATGCCAGTTTCTGCACTTTGAAGTAGGGCTGCCAGTCTAATTGAAATAGTTCAGCAGCCATTGTAGATACTTATCCTCCTGTGCACATCCTTAACTTAAAACGCTATGTGTGCATTCATGCTACTGCTGTACCGCTAGAGCTTTTTTTGTTTAAAAATGACCTTGTAGCATTTATAGCAGATTAGGCTTTAAACCAAACCAGACACTTTGCACTTCAATACAAAATTACATTTTTAATAAACCAGAATCTTATATGCTCATATATTAAAGTATTGCATCTTCACTTATAAATAGTACCTATTTTCATTGGTCATATTTAAGTGAGTGACAAAGTTTTTATTTTAACCTTAAAATTTATACTCTACCTTCAAGCTTTTAGGAGAAGTGACTGTTCTTAACCACGCAAGAATCACACTGCTTAATGTTTTATTTTTAAAATATAAGCATTTCCTTTTTCTAGGGAATCACTTTAAAAATGAATGAGCTGAACCATTGCATTGTGGCAAGAATTATGCATGGAGGAATGATTCACCGGCAAGGTAATCATGTGTCATGAATAGTTTTGTCTTCAAACACAATTATTTAGACCATTTTGTACAAACTGTGTAACGGTACATACTCCTCATTTTGATTGCTACTATTCCATAGTAGTGTACCTCTGTATTTGGATGAAGTCCTGTTAACTGCCTTTGTTACCTTCCAGTTGCAGATGTCTGCCAGAGTCTTGAGATGAGAGCCCACGATATTTCATTTAAGCCTTAATTAGGGTAATGGGACTATAGCTCAGTGAGAGATTGAAATGCCAATAATTTCTGGAGCAGTATTTATTTAAGCCACTGTTTAAAAAAGAAAATCTTTAGACTAGTTACAGTACTTTTCCTTGCAAAAAGGAAAGAGCTTTGTTCAACAAAAAAATGAAATTCCTCCATGTATTTTCACACAATTCTTGAGGATCTTTGTACTTTTGATATTGAGGGTCATAAAAATCATTTTTTAAATAAATATATTTCTTGTGCCTAGAACTTGAATTTTTATTTTCAGTTTTCACTACTACAGCAAACCCTGCAAACATGCATCTTTTATCTCCAGTCTACTCCTTTTTTCCATTTTGTGTGTCCAGATCAGGCGTCAAAAAATAGCTGGGCTTTGTCCTACTTTAAACAGATGAACTTCCCTGCTAGGTTGTTGGCTGCAAGTCTGGATTGCACCCTTAAAAGGATTACTTTAGTTTTTCCAGTTTGCCATCTTTTTCTTTTGATGACTACAAAAATTTTCATCATTTGTCAGACCAAAGTTCCTTCTGGCCTACTGTTCTATTTCAAAGGAAGCTAGGAACAGGTAATTAGGAAGACAAAACATAAAACAGGGAAAGGGTACAGTGATCTTTCCCTGATATATTCACTTTATCTCCTCAATATGGTCAAACCTGTCAAGAAGCAGGAAAGATGGAACTTTTCATACAAGCAAAGACGCAGTTCATACAGACTTTTATGTTCCTTTAGAGGACCCTCTGAATTGAAATTTTTTTGGCTTCTAAAAGTGAATTTAAAAGGAGGTTGCTCTAAGATTCACAGGAAGAAGGTTTTCTTCCAAGTGTACATAGGTAGTGGTGATCCTCTGCAGACTATTGTTTCACGTAAGTGTGCCACAATGGGGGTAGTAAAACTTTTAAAACCTGTTAAAACTTCATCTAACTAAGGTAGCTCTTCTGCACATACATTTAGTTTGAAAATGAACTATACTTCAGTGTTTTTGTAGTACTGTTTGGGGGGTTTTTTAGTATTTGTGATTTTGTTAGTGCTCTAGATGCCTCCTAGCTTCACTGCTTCATTCAACATATCTGTATTTAGAATATTTTTACTGAATAGAACAACGCGAATGTAAGTTAACAGTGACTTCGAGCACAACATGTCTTTGAATCCTATTGACAGGGTCTGTGGCTTTTATTTGATTTGGGGCTGGGGGGGGTATGTTGTTGTTTCTGCTGTCTCCTCTTGCTATATGGAAAATTGCCAGGCAATAACAGCAATGACTAGATAATAGATCTACTGGGAGGGTTACAGGAAATGTGTAATTTCAGGACTAGCAATATTAAGTAGAAACTGCACAATTCCCAATCACAAAATAGAAGCTGCTGTGAAGTCTGCCTCCTGTCTCTATGCCAGCTGTATCTAGTCCTGCTGATTATAGTTGTCCTTACTCAAAAGGTGGGGGAGTTGAAGTGGGAAGATAGGCTTGTAAAGATGCTATCTACTTGCACCTTCCAGAGGACTCGGGTCAATCAAAATGAAACACGGGTTTCAGTCATTAAAAATTGTCTTTTTGTTGACTTGTCTGCTTTTTTAGGATAAGTAAATGAATGGTATCTTAGATCTCAGGCTTTTAATTATGTCTTGGCTTTCCCCTTTGTGACTGTGCCTTAACTTAGCTCAGTTGTCCATTCACTTTTTACCTGTGGATTCTGTTTAGACTACTCACACTGTAAATATTATATTCAGAGGATCTGCATATAGCCTGAGTTCTCAGCAGCTGTCAGTATCTTAACCCATGGGGTTTTTGCTGCTGACTGGTTTTGGGGCATACACGCTTAAAGGTGAATTCATTCTTAAGATGCATTTAAGAAGAGGGACCAATACAGCATTCAAAAATATTTCCAAAGAAGAGAGAAGACTTATTGGCAGCTCATTTAACTTCACCAGAAAAACAGCAGTTGTACATTGTCTATGCTACATTGTCAAAGTGACTTAATGTAAAACTCACACCAATTTTTGAAACACTGATACTCTGATAAGGTTTATTCAGTTCTAACAAAATGTATGTGATAACTTGGTGAAAATATGATTTTACGTTCACAGCCTTTCACTTTCCAAGCTACAGGATTTTCTTTTAGCTACAAAACATGTTTCTGAATAGGGACTCCAAGAATTTGTTCTGTCTTCTTCCTAATAGGGTAGGATTTCTCATACTTCTGTGCAGAGCAAGAGCACACACTTCCTAAAACTGTCGTCAGTCTGCCTTGCAAAGACAAAGAAGGAAATAATTTACTCCAGAAATACATCAATTCTTTGTTATTACAGATGTATTACACATCAATAAGTCATGAATAGCTTAAGTTCTAAATAAACACTGCACTGTCAATAGAAAAGGAAGCAAAAGCAACCAAAATTAGATGCTTAAGCTTAGGTATCATGGGAGCTACAAATGGTACGGAAGACTCTATTCAAAGATGTCGAGAATACTCTTTTCCAACAAGAATATTTAGAAACATTTAAAAGTTTCTACAAATAATAAAAGCCTCTTCCCTCAGACTGAAAACATCTTCCTGTGGTTTATCAGTGCATCCACCCCTCAAAACAGAATGACCATCTACTGCTAATTGTCCATGCTTTATTCTCATCTTTTATGTGTACTGCTCCATTCCGGGCATGAACAGAAAAATATTCACTTCTGTCAGAGTAACAGAAATGGGAATTTCTCCAGAAGAGGGGATTTTATTATAGTGCACTATTGAAATGATTTGATACAGGGATATTACTGAGTCTGATTCTCATTCTAATATTTAATTCCATCAGATTTATATTTTGAATAATGCCAAAGAATCTTTATACTATTCCAGGGCATATGCTCTTTCTGATTCAGTATTATTGTTTAATAACAATTACACTTCAAACACAATTTAATCTTGGCATGATACAGTCAACACAGAGCCTCATTTTTTTTTAGAATTTTTTTTTTTTAAGAAATGGGTATTGAATGCCTTCCTGAGAAAGTCTGCCAAAACTGAACTTTCAAAGTGTTTCACTAGAGATTCAGTCATTAATATTCTAGATGTGAACTAGATTAATTTGAAATTCAGATGCAGGACTGTTGCATTCACATTCAGTAAACTATTAATTGTGATAATTTTTCCACTGAAGTGTGGAAGAAGAACTGCCATGAGTCCTCTTTTATAATTTCACTGTCAGCAGATCAGCTTCTGTAGAATTGTTTGGAGCATTTAATGTGGCTGAAGGACTTACTCTTGAGAGTACTGAAAGTTTTCATAAACTTTGGGCTCTCTCCTGTAGCACTGCCAAGTGAGCTTCAGTTTCACAGAAGAGAGCCCAAAGGGACTCATAGCAACAGAGCTTTTCAGGATTCTTCTCCTTGGTTCAGTCTGTGCTTGTGTTTAGCAGGCACACAGTTTGATTTTCCTACGTTTGTCCAGCTGAAAGTTTTGCTTGCATGGTATTCTTTGGAAAAACTGACTATTTTGGTTCAGGAAAAGAATGTTAAGGATTTTCCAGGATTCTAGTTGATTGACTTTTTTCAGGTAATTTTCCATACGTGTGTTTTAGTTTAGCAAATGTTTGACAGTTGCTAGTTTTCTAAGTAAGATTAATTATATTCGGTACAGTAATTGTATTAGGTACAGTATTTTGAAAAGGATACTTGCACAAATTATTTAAATCGTATAGCAGAAAGAAGTATATGCGAAGTAAATGGTCTTGTCGTATTTCATTATACATGAAAAACATCTTCTGACTAATAATAAACCATGGAAGTTTTTTTGGAGAACTGCTAGAGAATTAGGTGGGCTTGAGCTACTCAAGTCAGAAATTATCATCCAAAAAGAGCCTCCTAGGTTGCTTCTAATCCTGAAGATAATTAATTAATTTGCTGCCTCCTCCCTGTTGAGCTTTTGTAGTCTTAGAGCTGTGTTGTAGCATGCCATTCCCATCCCAGCTTCAGCAGGTCAGTTTTTGACTTGCCTAAGCTAAGTAGATAATTTGGTTCATCACCTGACATTGTAGGTAGTCACACTAATCATTACATTCAAGCTGAAGTCAAGTGTACATACAGAAAATGCGTACTGTAACTATAGCAAATCAAAAGCAGAGAAATGAAAAAATACAGAAGTCTGACAGATAAAATTAAGACTGTGTCCAGAAGCCAAACTGCATTAAGTAGTCATCTGATAAAATACTGCTTGAATGTCTCTGTTGAATGTTTCCAGCTGACTAGTTGCAGGTGACTTTCTTTTCAATGTGTGGGGTTTTTTGCAGTGTCCTTGTAAGGGACTGATGTTTTCCCCGTGTACTTTATCGGGTGCCCAGGAGTCTCATGCTGGTGTATTGCCTGCACTCTGAAAGACAGATTCGTGATCTTTGGTAACTAATACATAGCTACCGAAGTCCTCTTCTGAATCTAGCCAAAAAACTGATTTTAATGTTGTTTCATATTTGTGCCTTTGTATTAATATTAGTACTGTCTTAAAATTATCTCAATTTGTAAAAACATGTTTGAGGTGATTTTGTATTTTGTTAAATCCACAGGTACGCTACATGTAGGGGATGAAATCCGAGAAATAAATGGAATCAGTGTGGCAAATCAAACTGTAGAACAACTACAAAAAATGCTTGTAAGTGCATGAAATCTTTTTCATGTTCTTTATAAAAGTGCCTGTCTTATTTTGACAACTTTTATGTAATTGCATTGTGACTTCCCCTTTTTCTTCTATTCTTGATAGCCTACATGTGCAAGTAACACAAAGTCTTCCTGTGTTCAGCTGTTAAAGCCTTCTACAGGCTCTCCCCTGTTTTTTAGTAGTGGCTTTTTTTGCACCTTATACCCAGGAATGGTAAAAGGCACCTCCAGGTGTCATTTTATTTATTCCATTTAGTCCCACAGAAAAGATCATTGACACCCAGCCATTCCTGACAGATGTATGTCTGACCAGCTCTTAAAAAAATTTGAGTAATGGAGATTCCCCAAACTCTCCAGGCAGTTGACTTTAGTGTATAACTCTTCTATGCTTTAGAAAGTTTTTTCTAATGTCTGACTTCCCTTTGTTGAAATGCAGGAGTTTCTTCTCTTGTCTCTAGTGGACATAACAGAAAAAATACCGCTTTCCTCCTGTTACTCATCCCAAGTTAGTCTATAAAGATCATGCCCTTATTTTAAATCTTCAGTCTACACCAAGTGTAGTCACTGAGTATACTGTGAGAGAAAAGAAACTTTTCTTGACTGTTGGTATAATTGCTACACAAATACAAAGACAGTAAATCATAGAACCATTCAGGTTGGAAGTAACATCAGGAGGTCTCCAGTCCAGTCTCCTGCACAAAGCAGGGTCAATGTTGAATGCAGCCCAGGTTGCTCAGGGCTTTGTCTGGTTAAGCCTTGAAAATATCCAAGGACAGAGATTTGACAGGACAGGCGCCTCTTTGGGTAACCTGTTCCAATACTTAATTATCATCATAAGGAAAAATGTGTTCCTTAAATGTATCTGTGAATATGCTTTTGCTATTTAACATGTATGATGAAAGGGAAGAAAATGCCACTTTAGTAGCAAAGAGTCTGTGGATCACAAGAATATAGCTACAAAGAAAAGACTGATATGGAAGAAACCTACACATCTCTGAATCTCTTACCTTAAAATACAGCTGTAGGTTCTAGGCATTCGAAAACTGGTCAGGCGAACAAACTGATCATATATGTTTATATTTTAGATTAATGAGAGATGATTAAATGTTTGTTTATAAGTGAAATGACAAATTAGCTGTAGCATTTTAGATTTCTGAATATTTACTTTAGGAAAACATACTGTTGCTCTCAAGCTATGATGCTTTCCTTTCAAGCATTAGTGATTTGGAGGTTTTATCTTCAGTGTCTTAGTCTTTAAAGAAGTGCTTCTCTTTTTCCAGAGGGAAATGCGTGGAAGTATTACCTTTAAGATTGTGCCAAGTTATCGCACGCAATCTTCATCCTGTGAGGTAATGAATTTAATGAACTGTCCCATTTCTTCCTCAGTCCTGTAACTAACTGCCTGCTGATGGCTGAATGTTACTGCTTTCTGGGAAATTGTTTCTGCCTGTCCTGTTAGATCACGCACACCAATTTTACAACAAAGATAACGGAACATGAGTAGGTCCCACCTACCTACTCAGCCCTGCCTTCATATTCATCTCATCAGCACCTTAACTAACTCTTTACAGCCTGTTAAAAAAAAAAAAAAAATAGGAAAGGGGATCCTCAACTCCTGCATTTAGGAAGCCCCTTTAAAAAAAATTACAATTTAAATGCATTCTCGAGGAAGTCTATTAAAGTTCCTAAGCTGAGAAACAATCATCCTTTTTTTAGGCATTAAACATTATTTTACTGCTTTGGGCTGTTAAGGGTTAATTGAAGAATCTGTTTCTGTATAACCCTGTTGAGGTAAATTTGTGATGGTTGTCTGTAACAGTTACATGTGGCTTAATATTATGTTTCTATGAAAAAATGGTATTTGTCATTACAGAAGAAAAACAGATTTGGAGTTAGTTCTTGTGGAACTAGAAACTTGGTATTACGGTTTTTGCACAGTAATGTTTAATTCCCTTCTGCTCACAAAATTATGTTCCAGACTGCAACTGAAGGGAATTAAATTCTAGAAAATGGCTACTTGAGAGATACTGTTCCAATTTAAGCATACAGATGGCATATGCACTATGTAGATGATGCCAGTCTTTCTGTGCCACGTGCTTAACTGCGCAAACAGTTCCCAAATTAGAATTCCAAGAGTGAAATCACAATCCCTGTTGAAGTCAAGCACCTTATCTTAATTAGAGCTGTGATTTCACCCTAATTGTTTTTGTGTCTCAGCAGATGCTAAAACACACAGAAACTGCTATTGTGATTGTCAAAACAATCTGTTTGCAAGAAAAAAATTACTGCTTTTTGGTTGCCTTCTGTAGTTCTAATAGAAGTCAACAAGAACTAAAAGGTTTTAGAGGTAGAAGGTTTGACAAATTTTCACCTATGAGGCCAATTCTCTTAAAAGGTATAAATAAGAAAGCAAAAGTTCTTTATGAAATGCAAAGGCTTTAAAAAAAACACCTCAGACAGAAATTCTAGAGTGTGCTGACAAATTTATGTATTGACTTCTGTGCTGTAAACAGCAGTAATAATAAAAGACATCTCACTTTCCAGTATTAAAATACAGAAACTGGTGAAATTATAGACCTGCTGAAAAGTTGATTATTTGAAAAAAATAATTGAGCATACAGCTTTAAATTAATACCATTAGGTGTCATTTTAGTAGTAGCAGGTCATCTCTTTTCCTTAGCTTTGTGCCCTTAGGTTCTTCTTGACTATTTATTTCACAGAAGAGAGGAAAATGGACTCTTACCTTCCTTTGGAAAAAACAGTAAAACTAGAAATGTGTGATCAAAGACAAAGGAAAAAAATAAGCACGTCTATCACACTTTGTGGTATTTAGCATTCATTCAATCAGACATGGCTGAGTCTATGCCACCTGCTTGGCCACACTATGACTTTGGGTAGATTTTCAACTGTTACAAGTGTACACAAAAAGCCAACGTTTTTAAATCATCCTATTAAAGCATCACTAGTCCTTTGGTACAGAGAGGATTTTTTTCACAGAATTTTTCAGGATTGTGATTCAGATGATGAATCAAATTCTTAACCATTCTTTAGCCATTGATAAAGGCTAAAAATGAATGTTGAATGACATTACTAAGACACAGAAAGCTTGCTTCTCATGCTCTCTAGCAGGATAAATTCAGAGATTGGGTCTTCACTAGTATAATCTTACTAGTTAAGGTATTTTTTTGGCAGTAATTTACTATAAATTTATGTTTGGTTCCCCCCCTCCCTTCAGTCATGAACTGGTGCTCACATAGTATAGTTTTACCAAAGAGGAATATAAAACAGAATTGATAACTGGGTTTTTTTGGAGGCTCCTGCCATAGTTGCATCATTGGATTGCAAAGCATCTTGTTAAATAAGAAAAACTAAATGTTAGTAGAACCACAGGTGATCTGCCTTTTACATAGAATCTGCCTATTTGGCTTTGTATACAAAGGTGAGGGGGGGCCACAGGATGTTTGGGGTTTTTTTAATAACTGAGATTTGCATTTTTTGCCATATTTTTCTTCTTTTGTAGGCATTTAAGAGAAGTGGTGTAGTGGTGGTGTTCTAAATATTAAGCCACTTTTGCATGTATAGGGAAGTCTTGTCCCTGTAGTAAGTAATGGTACTTCAGTATCACTAGGCAGTTTCCAAAACCTCAGCTGAATAATTTACAGTTTCTTAGGGATTTGTGGCTTTTTCTGCACCCATGCCTTCTATTCAGTTACCAGACCTTCTATTTTGTGGAGGAGACTTTGCTTGAAAACATAATACTTAGGAATACCCTTGTATAAAAATCTGATCAGCTAATCTACTGTGAGACGACCTGTTTCGTCATTGTTGTGGCAAATGGCCTGAGTTACTCGGATATCTAGATAACAGTGCCCAGGATGTTGTGTTTTCTGCTTCAGATACCCAGGAAGTTACAGACTTATATAAATATGAACTTAAGTAATTATTGCAACACATTCTTCTTATGGCTGATGACTGCATATGCTGTTTATATGTTTCAGCTTAATCCAACTGAGTAAGCATTTTGCTCTAGCTACATTTGCATTCTTACTTTGTACTGACAAAACACCCCAAGTAACTTTTTATAGTGTCAGATATGTGAGAATGGTAAGGGAAGTACTTTTTTTTTTCTTTTTTTTAACAAAAAAAAATTCCTTATAAACATCCTTTATGTTTCATATTGTCTTCCTGAAACACTTAAGCTGTTTCATTAAGAAGAAAAGCCCTTATATATATGAGGTTTTAAAAATCTGGTGGTAATCACCATGGATTTTTTCCTTTAGTCTTGCAATGTTTCCACTAGTGCTCAGACTATAATACTTTTTATAGTCTTAAACCTTTTTTGTATTTGTATTAAAAATACTGCCAGAAAGGTTCCTTGAGCAAGACTGAAACTGAAATGTATTTTCAGGTTTTTGGAAAGTCTCTCTTTTTTTTGTGTGTGTGTGGATCTGGCAACAGTGTCATTAACCTAGCTGTTCTTGTCAGTATCTAATTTGTTCAGGCCACATCTAGTAGACATAATTGACTTCTGGCTATAGGATTGCGTCTCAAATGCATCGATTTATCATTCATAATCCACACCTAAGAAGGAAGAATCAACAGGAAACTAGTTTTGCCATCATCTGGAAATAATTGTGATTGTTTCCTCTAAGGCTTCAGCTGTGGTGCTTCAACTGAAGAGCAAGGATCCAAAACACTTCTGTTTTGTCATTTGGCTTGGGCCTAGACAAGGTTGGGAAATCTAGATAGTCTAGTTATACTGAAATATGATGATAACACTTCTACACTACTCAGAATCATTGGATCCTCCAAGTGTTTTTCCGCTCTTATTGCTGGAAGAGCTAAGCCTTTTCAGATTTACTGGAGAAACAAACTCACAACCAAAGCTGAAGTTTTCCGGTCCAGTTTTAAGCAGTCCTAGCATTCTACAAGGATCTCTCTACTCACCGAGTTGTCTCATTAGACTGTGCATAATAGTTTTTCTCTTAACTTTTGAGTCTGATATTTTTTGAAAGAAAGACCAGGTCCCTAGGAAATAATGAATCTAAATGCCTTTGAAATTGTGGGTGAACTGCCTTACTATTTAAAAATTGTACATATGCCTCTTGACTAGCTTCATAGATTAATTTCTTAGAGTTAGTACTGAAATCACCAATAGCACTGAAAATGTGTATTTTCCTCGGTATGTTATGATGAACATTTGCTTTGAGTAATGTGCTGTCTTCTGTTGAGAATTGTTGGAGGAATACAAATCAAAACATTTTCAAACCAAGAAAATTTCCCTCAAAGGGAAAAGCCTTCAAGAGAGTCCAAAAATAGTGGCATTCTCCAAGTTACTCTAAACTTGTTTTTCTCCAAATGACTTGGGTGCTTGCATCACTTTTCAAAGCTTTCCCTTGCTAAACCATCACTGACTAGCAGATCATAACAAACTAGGTTTAAAAAAAAAAAAAGGTAAAATTAATTTTTCACCTCTTCTTGAAAGGGAGAAAATGCCAGAGACAGAATTGCAGAGCAAGCAGAAAATCTCTTTATAAAAGAAGGAAGTCACTGATTTTTTGGAAAAAAGTATCTCTTAGCTGCTAATGGATTAAGGTGATGCTGATAATCCTGTACACAAAAAAAAAAAAAAAGGAAAAACAGTTCCTTTAGGCTTTTCTTTTTTCTTTTTCCTTTTTTTTTCAGTAATTAATATCTTATTTGGTCTCATTTGAACATTTTAAACTTGTTATGCTGGAGTGATTTTGTAAATAGAATTAGAGCTGATTTCCCCCAGTCTGTTACATGTTGCAAATGTGTATTTCGTTCTTATGCATGTAGCATAAGAACCATATTTTGAACCACGATGGTTTTACAGCCATAATATTGTCAGATCTGTCCTCAACTGTGTTAAAATCAAAGCAAGCAGCTAGATAGCTACATATGGAACTTTCTGTGAAATCATATCTAATGAGTCCACAAAAAAGTGCAGAAGTTCTACATGAGTTCATTGCACATCAAGCGTATAGGCAGCAAGAGGGATAAAGTATTGCCTGTCATTTTAACTTTTCTTGATGCTTTAAAATAGCTATGAGTGCTATCACATAATTAGTATAGGTTTGAGGATATTAGTAGAGGACCTTTACCTGACTAATGTTGCATGAAGAGTTTAGCTCCAATTCTGGTTTTTAATTTGTTCACAAAGGGCCCTTGTATTGGTAAAATGTGACAGGGATAACTGTTTTCTTTGAAAACTGTTTTAGCCCTTTTTTTCTGCTATCCTTGACATTAGGCAAAATTACCAGAAGTTCCTACATTGACCTTTGACATGGAATATTATATTCCAAAATTCCTCTGGGGGTAAAGGGGATTTTTTTTTTCCCACCCCCACAACATATGAGTGAATTATTTTATTTCCTGAAGAGGTGACTCAATTATCTGATTTTATGGAATTAAGTGCTGTACAGTCAAAATGGCATGTGAAAAAGATTGCTCTACAAGGGGCTTCCTTGCCTTTGCAAAACCCAGTCAGAAATTCCTGTTCTCCTTTCTGTAGAATTTCCCGGTACGCACCCTGCATCTGCTGTCTCCTCACTGAAGTGTAGGACCACACTGGTAGTCTGAGGCAAGAGAGGTGGCTTTTTTGAAGTGATCTATTTTGGCAAGGTTTAATACTCTTAAGCCCATGAGAATGTTGGAGGAAAAAAACCTCCATGTGCTGTAAACTGGATGAGGAGGGAGAAGAGAGTGTCCACCTTCCTTCTCAGGTGTCAGCTTCTGTGTCTCTGAGGCACTGCGGAGAGATGCATCTTACAGAGTACAAACCGATCAACACTGACCACCACCACATAGCTGAAAAAAGATTTGGAAGCACCTTTAAAATGGAATCATGTGCCTCATTCTCTTCAAAGTATTATTCAGCACATAACTTTCAGGTAGTTGCCTTTAACAAAGACACCAGTATGACTAACGGCCTTTAGCATTGTCAGCCACTTGAGATCTAAGAGACCCCAGATACTCAGTAATTAAAAAGCTGTTTGATTGCTAAGGCAATGTAAAAATAGTTATTACCTAGGATACATCAAAAAGTCAAACCTGAATCTTAGACTGTGGAAAAACTTTTCAGATTTACAGAGTTTGTAGTGTGGAAACTTTCACAGATGAAGCAGCTAAGCAAATGGTTATAAGGCTGTGGATGTAACTGTTCTTTTAAATATATCTGTGTTCCTGTGATAGTGTTGTGTTGTTAATGAACCTTGTGTCTTATTTCAGAGAGATTCCCCCTCTACATCCAGACAGTCCCCAGCTAATGGTCATAGCAGCACTAACAATTCTGTTTCGGTAAGATTTCCAGTTCCACACAGAGAAAGTGTGAAAGTTTTGTTGGTGCTCATCTGCCATTACTGTTATACTTATCGTGTGGTCAGTGGAAAATTTTGTCCTGATGATAGAACCAAAGTTATTACATACGTAACTCCCCGTTTTCTTTTTTTTAAGATTTTTTTCCAACATATTCTTCTCATGAAAAGCCATGCAGTGAATTAAATGTTAATAACTGTAATGTGACGCTTCAGTCATCCTTAAATCATTGTTAGCAGTTTCCTCAAAACTAAGCGAAGGATTAAAGTGGAAGTTGTATTTCTATCCTGAACTTTGGAAGCAGTGTTTGAAGAAAGAATAACTGTGCAGTTGGTATTTCAAGACATTTTAGACTCTTTTAAGTTTTGTGTTTTGAGAGACCTCTGGAACGTGTACTGGTTTCCGCTATCTGAGTTAACGAATTGGTGTGCCCTCTGCTGTTGTGGTACGTGCACATACTTTGTGAAATATGAGCCTTGCCTGGATATGAAAAGCAAAAGGAAGTGGCTTTAAACTGCACTACAAACCAAGCTATTATCATCACATCTTTAACACAAAGTACTTCTGTTTCATATGTATTCAGGTAGAAAGGTGCTGTTGATCTCCTGTTTTTTCTAAAGTATAGTAATGTTAAAATTTGTGTTGTTTATCATTTGTCATCGTTTGGACCGATGTAGTAACTGTACATGCAAGTTCCTTCAGTAAGAGTGCTGTCAATATCATGAGTTCATGGGACTAGCTAAAAAAAAAAAAAAAGAAAGAAAAACAAAACTGAGTAACTATTTCTTTAACTATTAAAAAAATTACAACTTAGAAATTATTTGCCACAAGGTAAAGTGCTTATTAATTAATACAATGAGAAATAATTGTGTGAATGAAAATTTTAAGAAATTTTTGTGAATTAAATTGAATTTGTAACATGATTAGTAGTTATAATCTTATTCCTCAGCACGATTAATTGCATTATATATTTTTAATAATAGATTTTTTAATATTTATAATAGCCATCCTTCTCTATTAAAAACAAGACTAAGTATTAAGTGGAAAAAGTGTTCACATAAAGAGCCTCTTTCACTTGACAGTGCTTTTGTGTTGAAGATGCTGAATTATTTATTAAAAAGCACATTCTCTACCTGCTTAAACTTTTGACCTGCTTTCTTCAGCTTGCTGCTAAACAGCCTGGGTTTGACTTTTCCTTAAGAAAAAAAATATTTCTAAACATGGGTCAACGCTTTATACTTTTGTCTGACTTACCATTTTACTGTAATGTAGTATGAATCACTAACAAATGGTGTTGTATACCCTTAAAAAGTAAAATGAAAATTTCTTCTCCTGGGTTGACTTTATTCTGCAGGACTTGCCATCGACAACACAACCAAAAGGACGACAGGTGAATAGATATCCTCCATGGGAATTTTTGTAAACTTAGCTGCTAGTGAACATCCCTGCTTACCTTTTCCCCCCTCATATTCTGTATGTGCTGGACTAAAACATTTAAGCTTGGAAAATTTGTTCCATTTTTTTCATTTTTCTTTTTAACTCATTTGTTTGTGGCTAATTCAAAATAGCATTTTTTTTGTATGTGTCCATATGTGTGAGAGTTACAAAGTCATTGTAAATTTAAATGGAGATGTTGTTTTAGTTCAGAATGCGTTAATAGACTTACTGTTGTGCAGTGACCTGTGCAGATTTTCATCTTAGAGGAAACCTCAAATTTGTATTTTAGCTGAAATGGAGACTAGTAGGGCAAGTGTCTAATACTCTCCTCTAAAACATTGTACTGACAAAGATTCTAAAGCTGGTGTTGATCTATAACTTAATTATTAACAGTAACAAAGCTCTTCAAAGAAAAACATTAAGGTCAGTTTCTATTAAGAGTTGATAAGTCTGAAGATACCCTCTTAAATTTTCAGTCCTGAGGCCTGGATTCAGTAATGTCCCTTAACTTTGTTACCTTGACCTGGTGGTAGTACATGTTATCAGGGAACAAAGAAAGATCTTCCCTCTCCAGACAATTCCAAGAAAGCCCTTAAAGGCTCTGCAGAGGATTTCCTATGATTCCGTTTGCAATTTTAAGAATTAGGTTTTTTAACTGCAGCCTCCAAATGAACACATACCATCAAGTGATTTGTGATTCCTCTTCAGTAACTGCTCCATTTATATATAGCCCTTCCAGAATCTACCTCTGAATCTTTAACCGTGGACTCAACCTCTTTCTCTACCAAGGGTTTTAATAACAACCCTTGCAATTCCACTCAAAAGAGTCAATTAAGTCCACGATCTGTTGTCTTTGAAAATTTTTTTATACTACTGTCTGGTTAAGTTAGCTGGAACATCTATTACAAGAATGGATTGCTCTCACTTTGTTTCCTATTTTTAAAGCTTACAGCTATGTTTCTTTAATTTTCTGTCGTCTTCTGAAGTTTGCAGCTGCCTGAATGTAATTCAGGAAAGGCTTCATGAAAGACCTTCCAAGCTGTTGTGTTAGGGGTTTTTTGCCTCTCATATTTTTCCCAGGAGAAGAGACTTTGTTCAAGACATATCAGAATAATGGCGTTCCTCGTACTCGCACCATTTATAGTTACCTGTTTTTTTCAAGAGTCTTTTCCCATTAAACCAGCATTATTTTTCTGGTAGCTTGTCATCCTTGAAGACCGTAAGGACTTGGATAACAGATACATTGCTATCTGTAAGGAAGTCTGTAACATTCCATGAACTGCCAGTATGTGGTGGATAAGGGCTCAAACTGGAGCAGGGACTTCAAAAGCGAGGAAGTTTCTAGGTGATAAAAATACTGCTTACATTTCTAGACCTATATTCGATAAGGTTGAGGAGAAATAAGGGATTGGTTCAATACTGATTACTTCATAGAAAGCCAATTACTAAATAAACAAAAAATAGGATGTTTTGAAACCAAATAAAAGTGATTAAAAGATATTGGGTTGCTTGTCCAAACTTACAGACTCAGTGCACTGCAGAACAAGGGTCAGATTTAGTATATTAAAAGTTGACTTCTATATTGATATTATCATCTGATGCTCTCACTGTAAACAGATAAAAATGCATTGGGTACAAGATAATAGTGATTAGCCATTTAAGTTAATTTATTCATATGTTGGGTTGCAGATTGGATTACTATAGAAATGAACTTTTTAAGTGCCATGAATAGTGCTAACACTGCATAGTTACAGCTATTTTTGGAGCAGAATTTGAGCAAAATTGGCAAGTGTTTGTTACAGTTTAAATGAAGGATATTAATTTGGAATGTAAATTTTTAAAAAAAAAATTAGTCCATTTTTAGTAAGGAAATCAGCAGTAGACTATACATGGCTGCCTGAGATGCTGTAGTGTGATGTTTGAAGTTCATAAACTGTAGAAATTACCCATCTTGGACATGACATTTAATTCTGGTTTTAAGATCCTTGGATGCATCAGGGCTGTAATTAGCAACCAAAACTGTAGATCACTTTTATTTTTATTTTCTAAGGTTGAGACCTCACTAACACACAAAGCAAGGATTGGTATATTATTTTAAATTGTGAAGTCAGAATCTGAATTTTTTCTGTTGATGTTCCTTAGAGAATAACTTACTCAAATCGTTAGTTTTCATTTATACGGGAGCAGACTTTTACTGAAAAATCCATGCAGAGAATTCCCCCATTCCTCCCAAGTAACTATATGCAATGGGTGCAACACAGGACTTCCTATTTAATCTTAAAAAAAGGTACTAAATTTTCAGTCTAAATACTAAAGATCAGTAATGTAGCCTAAGTCCTTTACACTGTCCAATAAAATTTCCTGCCATACAAATTTTTAAAACATACCGTGGGACTTCAGTTGGAAAGCCCAGTATAGTTCAAGTTGTAAGCTGCTGGCTTATAGTCTTCAATGATTCGTGATAGTTAATATTGATTTGAGGGACTCTGTCTTACATGTGTTCATTTTTGCTGCTCAGGTTTTACGGTATGTAGAAGACATGAGCTTTCAAAATAACATCATATGTCTCCATTGCTTGCTGGGGGGGGGTGTTTCTGTTTCATTTTCAACTATCACTTATGCTTTCGCCATTCTGTTTCTTCCTTTGCTTGTTGCAAACAGTATGTGTTGCTACATGCACAGATCAAATTTTCACCTGTTACTTTTAATACTGTACCAGTAATAATACCGCAGTGTCTTTTATAAACTCTTTTTTATAGATATATGTAAGAGCACAATTTGAATATGATCCAGCAAAGGATGACCTCATTCCTTGCAAAGAAGCTGGCATCAGATTCCGAGTTGGTGATATTATCCAAATCATTAGCAAAGATGATCACAACTGGTGGCAGGGTAAACTTGAGAACTCCAAAAATGGTACTGCAGGTCTTATTCCTTCTCCTGAACTTCAAGAATGGTATGACTTAAGTTTTCTGAAAAATGAATTTAGCTTTGCTTTTATTTCTGTCTTTCATGCTTTTCATTGTTGTATAGCTAGTTTTTGTATAATTTTTTCTTTTTCTTTTTTTTTTTCCAAAAAAAGTCTATATATTGCCTCAGTTTGTGTGGCATTGATTTTTTTCTCTTGTATATGCATAGCAGTAAGAGTTGCATGCAATATCATATGTGTAGTTACATTAGAAAAATAATCACCTATGTTAGTAAACATTGTGCTTTCTGATATACTATAGGAAACTAGGATTGAAGGCTAGTTGTTTATGTAAGGCGGTCAAATTAATTTTTTTTTTAGGTTCAAAACAGTGTTTTCATTAGTACTGCTTACATGCAAGTGCTGCAGGAATAAGGTGTTAGCAAGATGTCGAGCACAAAGGTCATTGAGGGAGTTTGGGGTGCTTCTCTTCTTTTCATTTTCCATATGAAAGCCAAAAAGTAAAAAGAAATCACAATGCAGATTCCTGAATGACAGATTCAATGAACGGCAATGGCTCTGAGTACCACAAAAGCAATGCAGAGCCTTTAACAACCTCTTGCAGAAACTGTTTAGTAAATACTTCAAATGTATCAGCATGAACTCTGGCATGCAAGTCCTGGGCCATGAAAGTCATGGCCATAACTCAAGAAAGTTTATCAATATGGTTAATCTAGCCCAAAATATTTCATGCAAGATTTGCCACGTAAAAGAATGAGAGTGCTATAAAGGGTTTAACAGCACCTGTGCCACCCGGACTGGCCCATGGAGATTTTGCTAGAGGAGAAACAGCGGTAGACAAAACATTTCATTCCATCTCAAGAGCTCCTTTGCAAGCCCTGACATAAGGGGGACACTGGTATACATTGCAATAGGAACACTTGCGGTAATTCATCCTAAAGATGGACCTCAAAACAGTTCCGCAACGCAACTTGCTCTGAAGTAATTTAGACCATAGTGGTCTTTACAGACCTCATGCTCTTCCAGTCTAATCGGCTGCAAAGTGGTCTACAGCCATTTTAACAGCTACCCTTCCTCCCACACTCACTTGATTTGTGAGTTCTAATGATCTACCACTCAGAAGATATTCTTTATATCAAAATACCTCTGTATATAAGTGCTTTTAAGTCACAAAAAAAAGGGGGGGTGAAAAGTTTTACTGTACTCTTGTACTATTAAAAAGTATTAGTTTTCTAATTCATTCTATGTGGCTTTTTGAAAATACACTGATTACAACAAAAAAATTTTTCTCCTCCATATGCCAGGCGAGTTGCTTGTATTGCCATGGAGAAGACCAAACAGGAGCAACAGGCCAGCTGTACTTGGTTTGGAAAGAAAAAAAAGCAGTACAAAGACAAATATTTGGCAAAGCACAATGCAGGTATGAAAAAAAAAAAACAAGTATCATTAACAGGTTAAATTTTTTACAATCTAAACCTTGCCGTTAATTGTTCAGTTGGCATTGTTGTATAAACCTAATGAGGTACTTAGGAAAATAGAAGTAAAATTCTGATTATGCCAACATTGCTGTGCTCGGTTTTTGCTATTTAAACATACAGCTTAATCAGTGAGAGGCAAGCTGCAACAAAATAAATGCATCATAATGTATCCTAACAGCTTACATTGTTTTGGTTTTTTTACATTTAAAGGACCACTAGAAACCAATAGGATATGAATTTTGCAGTCTATGTAACTGTACTGTGCTCTACAGAAGACTTTTCAGTAGCATCGTTGTTAATATGTGTTTATAGTTACAGATTATATGTGTGAAAACATCGTGAAAGGATATTTTTCTTGAAGCGTTACAGCTGGCAGTGGAATAAGAGCCATTGCGTAGTCAGTGTGTTATTTACAGTTACCAAATAGAACAAACTGCAGAAGTTTATCCTTGCAGTGATTTCTGCCTGAATCCTAAGTTTTTGTTTTCTATTTAGACTGCTGAAAAAATGAATTGTTTTAGAAAATTCTGAAAGTAGAAGTGTAGAATAAGAGATCCTTGCTGAGCAAAATTCATTAGTTTTAGTAGTAAAGAAGGAAGACCCCTTCATTCATGAGCGGAATTTAGTTCTTTTTTTCTTTTAATATAAAATGCTCGATGTGTTGAAGCTGTTACTGTTGGGTTTGCATTGATATCACATACTGTAATGATAAATATGTTGTTGTAGTCTCTTGGGAGACTTGCAGAGATTTTTATTAGAATTAAAACACATACCTGTCCAAACAGTGTAATGAAAGTATTTTATATATTGAATTAATTTCGGGGGGGGGGGGGGGGGTGGGTTTTTTTTGTT